TCATTCTGTCTCTTTCTCTCCCTCTCAAAATAAATTAACATTTTAAATAAATAATAAAATAAAATAAAATAAAATAAAAAGAAAACCCCCAAAATGGTATGTTTTAGGACTTGGCAAATCTGGATCTTCCTTCTGAAGCCATGTGAAATAATCTGAACTTCATTTGATAGAGAATGTAGGCCAATAAAGGATTTTAAGATAGAGAGGGGCTAGATATATTTTAGGGCTTAGAGACATCCCTGCTTTCAATAGGATAGCATCCAAGGAAATGATTTCCAGTTTAATGTGGATTGAACAGAATTGTAGGGAGGCTGCCCTTTAGGTTACAGAGCAAGATTGCTGATTAAGTAATCTGATAAATCCTTCTACCCCTTAATAGTCTGAAGAATCAGGTTTGGGAATACATTTAAAAGCCAATCAAGTAATATATATCAGTGGGTTCTAACAGGCTAGCTTTTGCTGTAATAGATAACCTATATGAGAGAAATAAAAATAAGCTAGGTTTTATCTTTATTTTGTAACTAATGAGGATTGTTTATTATATAAAAAGCCAATGTAGAGTAAGATGTTAAAATTCCCAATGTGTAGGGGTGCCTGGGTGGCTCGGTCAGTTAAGCGTCCGACCTCGTCTCAGGTCGTGATCTCACTGCTTGTGGGTTTGAGCCCCGCGTCAGGCTCTGTGCTGACAGCTCAGAGCCTGGAGCCTGCTTCAGATTCTGTCTCTGTCTCTGCCCCTCCCCGACTTGAGCGCGCACACGCATGCGCGCTCTCTCTCTCAAATATAAATAAACATGAAAAAAAAACCAACAACCCTAAATTCCCAATGTGTAAATTTTTCCACTCTAAAGAGTAAAATAGACTGTTAGGCACAATGGGCTGATATTCATAGGTTAAGAGAGAGATACATGGAAGAATAATTGAGTATAATTAGGCAAAATGGAAAAGAATTAGACTAGATTTTCTCTCAGGAAATATGAATTCCATAACCACCTAGAAGAATAGATTTATGTATTCATTCAACAAATATTCATTGAGCACAAGCTGTACGCCAGGTTCTCTCTCTTAGGTATTAAGGGTAGAGAATGACCGAAGCTGAGCCCCTGGCCTCATAGAGCTTATACTACAAACAGAAGCGAATAGATCAATACTTTCATGTCAAGTGTAGCGTAAGTGCCACAGAAAGAAGTAAATAAAGCAGGGTAAGGAGGTAAAAAAGTGATGGGACTGTTATTTTAAATAGAAGAGTCAGAGAAAGCATCCCTGAGGAGGTAACAGTTCACGAAAAACCTCAATGAAAATAGAAACTGGGACATGCAGATATCTGGGGGAAAGTATTTCTGGCAGAGGTAATAGCCAGTACAAGCCCTTGAGATCGAAAGGTCTTTGGTGGGGCTAAAAACAGAAAGCAGTCCTGCGTAGCTCAGGCTAAGTGAGCAAAAGGGAAGAACCGTGGAAAGTAATGTCAGAAAGGCAGTCAGAGGTCAGGTCCCATATGCTTTATGATCTTTAGATTTCATTCTAAGTGAGATGGAAAAGCTTTGGAGTGTTTTGAGTTTAGGAACGGCATGATTTAGCTTACATTGTAAAAACACGTTCCAGCTGCTGCTGTGTGGAGACAGATTAAATGGGAACGGGGATGGGAAGAAAGTGAAGATCTGCTGCTGTTGTTGAGGCAAATGAGAAAATGGTGGCTTGGATGGGGGTGTCAGTAGCGACTGTAGTGAAAAGTGATCATATTTGTAAAATTTGGAAGGCGGAGTCAAAGAAAGTATTTTATCTTGAGACGTTTTTGTATGTATTAAAAATAATAGCTGTGATAACTACAGTTGATTGAACACCTGTCACATACAAGGCACACTACTCATATTATCTCAGCTACTTCTTCCCAAAACTCTGGTATAGACACTATTACCATGAGAATGCAGCCAGCAAACTGGGAAACAGAGTCAGCTGATTTAGCCACCATCTACAGCTGGTAAGAAGCAGGATTTGAATCCACATCTATCTGGCTCAAGATATCTCACCTCCAAGAATGAAAAAGGTGCAGAAATCATAGTTCAACGGCTGTGAAACTATCAGATGGATAACTTAACAGAAAGCTAGTAATTGTATCAATTATTTTTTCAGGAAGCATGCAGTGTTTGAGTATTGATCTTGGTTTAATAAAGTTTACTTCAATAAGGTAATAAGATACCTTTAATAAGGTAGCATACCTAAGTATATATGATTACTTAAACGTTTTCACATCTTTTAAGCCCTGAAAAGATAATAATCCAACTGACTAAAAAAAAAAACAGTATATTTAAAAACACAGAGACTTAAACATTTACTCTGAAGAGATAATCAGATATGCTCATATATATTTTTCTATGAAAAAGCCCCTTCCAGTATTTATAATAGTAAAGAAATGGAAACATCTGAATGTTTAATCAAAGGAGAGATATTAAATTTATTTTGTTTGATGAAATGCAATGCATACCTGGGAAATTGGGCTTTCACTATTTTTGACTATTTTTAAAATAGTGGAAAAATAGACACAATAATCATCATTTTAGCCATTTGGAAGTGTACAATTCAGTGACACTAAATATATTCACAATGTGTATAGCCATCACTTCTATCTACACCCCAAACTTTTTCATTGTCTTCAGTGTAAACCCTGAACCCTTAACAATAACTCCCCCCAATTCCACCCTCCTTTCAGCCTCTGGTAATCTTTACCTTCTGTCTCTATGAATTTGCCTGTTCTAGGCACATGATATAAGTGAAATCATACAATATTTGTCCTGTGTCTGGCTTAGCATAATGTTAACATAGTGTTTTCAAGATCCATTCATGTTGTAGTGTATATCAAGATTTTGTTTCTTTTTATGGCTGAATAGACCATTGTATATATATACCACATTTTTTGTTTATCCTGTTATTGGTTGATGGGCACTTAGGTTGTTTTTGGCTATGGTGAATAATGATGCTATGAACACTGGTATACAAATATCTGTTCGAGTCTCTGCTTTCAATTCTTTTAGATACATATTAAGGACTAGAATTGTTGAGTCATATGGTAGTTCTATTTCTAACTTTTTGAGGAACTGGCAAACTGTTTCCCACAGTAGATGCACCATTTTACATTCCCATTAGCAATGCATGAGGGTTCCAATTTCTTCATACAATCACTAACATATATTATTTTCCATTTTCTTCATTATAACCATCCTGATAGGTGACCTCATGCTTTTGATTTGCATTTCCCTAAAACTAATGATATCAAACATCTTTTCATGTTCTTATTGGCTGTTTGTATTTTGCCTTTGGAGAAATGTCTATTCAAGTCCTTTGCTCATTTTTAAATTGAGTTCTTCTTTTGATTATGGTTAGATTATAGGAGTTCTTTATATATTTTTGATGTTAGTCCCTTATCAGGTATATGATTTGCAAATATTTTCTCTTATTTTATAGGTTGTCTTTTTTACTTTCTTGATAGTGTACTTTGATGACACTTTCTTAATGTTGATGAAGTACACTTTATGTATTTTTTTCTTTTGTTGCCCATACTTTTGGTGCCATATCCATAAAATAGTTGCCAAATCCCATGGCATATGGATTTTCCCCAATTTTTCTCCTAAGGGTTTTACAGTTTTAGCTCCTAAGTTTAGGTCTTTGATCCATTTTGAGTTAATTTTGTGCACTTCATTCTTTTGCATGTGGATATCCAGTTTTCCTAGAGCTGTTTTCCTCATTGAATGGTCTCGGCACCTTTGTTGAAAATCATTAGCTATATATGTGAGAATTTCTTTCTGGACTCTCCATTCTATTTTGTTGGTTTGTATGTCAGTCCTTGTGCCAGTGCCATACTGTTTTAATTACTGTAGCATTGTAGTAAGTTTTGAAATAAGGAAATGTGGGCCCTCCAGATTTATTCTTTTTTTTTTTCAAAATTGTTTTGGTTATTCAGGGCTCCTTGCAATAAATATGAATTTGAAAACTGATTTTTTTCTTTTTTTGTGTGAGAAAATGATACTGAAATTTTGATAGAGATTGCACTGAACCTGTACATCACTTTGGGTAGTATTAACATCTTAACAATGTTCAGTCTTTTTATCCATGAACATAGGTACCTTTTCAACTAGATATGTATTCTTTAATTTCTTTTACCAACGTTTCAAAGTTTTCAGTGTATACACCTTTCATTTCTTCAGTAAGATTTATTGTAAGCACTTGATTCTCTTAGATATTATTGTAAATGGAATTGATTTAACTTCCTTTTTGGATTGTCCATTGCTAGTGTATGTATGGGAACATAACTGATTTGTGTGTGTGTGTGACTTTGTTGAATTTGTTTATGAGCTATAATAGTGTTCTTGTGAACTCTGGTATTTTCTATATATAGGATTATGTCATCTGTGAATGTTTACTTCTTCCTTTCCAATTTGGGAAATTTTGCTCCTAATATTTTATTTTATTTTAAGTCCAGTATAGTTAACATACAGTGTTCTCATAGTTTCAAGTTTCAAGTTGTATGGATTCAATAACTCCATACATCATCCAGTGCTCATCACAAGTGCTCCTAATATTTTAAAGGTATAAATAGAGATTAAGATTTACATAACTGCCAACAACAAAAACAAAAACAAACCCACAACACTACATTTGTGAACACCGAAAGGTAGCACTGGCTTTGATTCTGCAGGTGATTAAATTCTTGTTTGTATCTTTCTACATTTAAAAGTTTTTTTGTAATAAAACTTTATTTCTTAGAAAAAATTGAGATGCTTACCAACAAGGGCAATGTAGGAGGTAGATATTACTAAGACAATGAGACATGAGGCCACACTAATTCAGAGGTTAGTGGTTTATTGTTGGGTTTAACCAAGTCTACATTTATTTTGATCCACCAGTAGTCATGCAAATCCATGGGAGGTCCATGGGCCTGAGCTGGCTAGATCTGCTGTTTGAGAAGTTGTAATCTCTCTGAAGACACCCCTGCACCTCTCCCTCCACAATCCAGATCGTTCTATATCCAACATCATTTGACATGGGTCTGTAAGTTTATATTTGGGGGTGTTTTGCATGCATTTTCATTATGGCTTCTTTTTTTCTCATTGTTTTGTAGCTATGACACCACTTGAAATGAACAATCAGACAGATGTCACTGAATTCATCTTCTTGGGATTTTCCAACCACCCCAAACTACAGGGCTTGTTTTTCTTGGTTTTCTTGCTCATTTACCTGACAACACTCCTGGGGAACATGCTCATTATAACAGCCACTAGAATCAGTCCTGCTCTCCACACTCCAATGTATTATTTCCTCAGCAACCTGAGTTTCTTGGACATCTGTTATACATCCACCACCATCCCCGTCATGCTGGTGAACTTCTTCCGGGAGAAGAAGACCATCTCATATGAGGGCTGCCTCTCCCAGATTTTCTTCCTCGTCACATGTGCTGGCACTGAAGGTGTCTTATTGGCCGCTATGGCTTATGATCGCTATGTTGCCATTTGCCACCCTCTTCAATATCCCGTCCTCATGCGTGTGAAGGTCTGTATTTTTTTGGTGGCTGGGTCCTGGCTGTGTGGGCTAGTGAATTCTGTGACACACACAGTGCTGGCAGCCACACTGACTCTCTGTCAGTGTGAGTCAGTGTGAGTCAGTGACTCTCCAAATCAGCCACTTTCTCTGTGACATTCCTCTGCTCCTGAAGCTCTCCTGTTCAGACACCTCTCTCAATGAGTCTGTGCTTCATGTGGCCAGTGCCACCATTGGCCTGAGCCCCTGTCTGTTTACTGGAGTGTCCTACATACTCATCATTTCTTCCATTCTTAGGATTCCCTCTGCTCAGGGCAGGAGCAAGGCCTTCTCTACCTGCGCATCCCACCTCACTGTGGTGGTGGTCTTTTATGGAACAGCCAACTTTAACTATGACAGAACCAACATAGGCTACAACCTGGACACAGATATCCTGGTCTCTGTGCTCTTCTGTGTCATTACCCCCATGTTGAACCCCATCATATACAGCCTGAGAAACAAGGAGGTCAAGGGTGCTCTGAGGAAGCTATCTAGGTAATGTGGGTTCTCGAATGAGATCAGCAATTAAAGTTTTCATTTTGGAAAATTGCTTATACAATAGAAACATGGACCTTCTAGCTGCAGTTACAACAATGCTCTCTTTCTATATATGATCTTCTGATAATTGTAATGCCCATTCCACCCAGACAAACAGCTATCCCTGTGCCAAGCATTTCACACACCATGATCTCAAATGTCCTGTGTTCTCTAAGCCACTGATATCTGAGAACATTTTCATAATCCACCACCCTCACCCTCACACACACACACACACACACACACACACACACACACAATACCCAGTACCAACATATTTAAAAAAAGCTCATTCCCCATATTCTCTCAATTTAGCAGCACTAGACAACCACTAATCTGCTTTCTGTATCTATGGATATCCCTATTCTGGATGTTTCATATAAATAAAATCATAAAATAAATATGTGTTTTGTGTGTCTGGCTTCTTTCACTTGGGATGTTTTCAAGTCTCATACATATTGTAGTATCTATTGTTACTTCATTCCTTCTTATTGCTAAATGATTTCTGTTTTATGGATATGCCACATTTTACTTATCCATTCATCATTTGACAGACATCTTGGTTGTTTCCACTGTTTGGCTGTTATGAATACTGCTGCTATGAACATACATTTTTATTTATAATGAGTTTACATCTAAGAGTGGAATTGTGGATCATATGGTAGCTTTATGTTTACCATTTTGAAGAACTGTCAAGTTGTTTTCAAAACAGTGGTGCCATTTTACATTGCTAAGGGCAGTGTATGAGGATTCTAATTTCTCTACTTCCTCACCAACATGTTATTATAGGTTCTTTTTAGTATACCCATCCTAGTATGTGTGAAATACTAAATCACTGTGATTTTGGTTTGCATTTCCCTGAGGACTAATGATTCTAAAGTCTTTAATAAGTACCACTTCTGTATTTCTCCTTCATATATGGAAAAACTCATGTCACTAGAGAAGTGTTTGAGCTTTAGACACTTAACTCTTGACATTGTCTAATGTTTTTATCCTAATTTTGGTGAAGTAAAATACTGCAAAATTTCCAAACTTACATCCTTCTTCCCAACTGTGACCTACAGAGCTGTTTGATGGCTCTGCCTTTTTCTCCTTTAAAACACTGTATCAATAATGTAATCATCAGGTCATGAGCACTGGCAAGGCCAGAAATCTGGGGACATGAAGACATAAGGATGCTGGTGGGGGAAGAAGGAAGCACCGTGTCCAGGAGAGCAGCCCTAACTAGGAGAAGCTTAGTGCCAACAGAGTAGGTTTTATAGCTCTAATACACCATCCAGTTGCACAGCATAAACTGTCATGGAGTCCAAGTGTAAGGGGAAAACTCCTCATGCTGCATAGAATCCATCCAAATAAGCCCACACCCACACTTACATGCCTCTCTTCTTCCTGATGATAATGAGAAGAAGCCAATCTCATAGGCTTCTACCACCCTCAACTTCTTAATAGAAGCAATCTAGTACTGAACTTTACTCATCAATGTCCCTAAAGAGAAAGGACGCTGAAATCCTCATTGCATGCTGGGAAAGGATGATTTCCATGACTTTAATGAACCCAAGAGAGAATTAATTGTTCATCACCTCTGTGCCTTCTGTTCAGTCTGCTGCTCTTGAGTTGTGGTTGCACTCTGAGGAATCCCAGAAGAGCTGCTTAGAGATTACATGAGTATTCCCAAAAGATTGGTCCACAGGCACTTATAAATGTCCACTCTAGAAAAATGAATTCATTGAGAGATCAAAGAATTTTTGACTCTTGCATTAGGCATTGAGTATGCTCAAGGCATCTCCTGGAATGGCATGTCCTCACCACTAGGCATGGCAGTCAACAGTCTGTTTTACCAAAGAGCATCCTTTCCATTCCAGGATGGAACTAAAGTAGGGAGCAGGAAGTCCTGCTGACAGAGCCAGAAATCCAAGGCTTTCTGTGAGAGTCAGTGGTAAGTAGTTTATTTACCATCACAAATGAGAAAAACTGTGTCCTATGTCAGGATATATCTACCTATTAAGGGCATATTATGAAATATTATGCATATTTTCATTATCATTTTGAAGACAGTATGTAATGACATTTTTAATATTTTTCCATGTGTATGTCAATTTCTTTTTTATTTTTTTTATTTTTTTAATTTTTTTTTAACGTTTATTTTTTTGGGGACAGAGAGAGACAGAGCATGAACGGGGGAGGAGCAGAGAGAGAGGGAGACACAGAATCAGAAACAGGGTCCAGGCTCTGAGCCATCAGCCCAGAGCCCGACGCGGGGCTCGAACTCACGGACCGCGAGATTGTGACCTGGCTGAAGTCAGACGCTTAACCGACTGCGCCACCCAGGCGCCCCTATGTCAATTTCCAAAATAGTGCTTATATCAAGAACCAGAGTATAATTGCCTTAGCAATTATCTACTCCCAAACCTGAGCAGGTGCCTGAATTCCTTAACGAAATAATATGACTGAAAATTTAGTTTATAGTAAATAATATAGAATGCAGTGTGTCAGTACTCTATTTTTGACAAACAGGACATACAGGAATAATTTTCAGGGAGAAAGGATGGAGTCATTTTTTTATATGGTACATTATAATGTGGTAATAGGCACACACAAAATATTTATTTAAATTAATATAATTGAATTTGCATAACACTTCTATTTGGAAACATATTATTCACTAGCTGGACATTCTTACCTTCATGTTGCAACTAACTGATGTTTGGGAGGTTGTACTGAAAGCAATTTATTAACTGTAATAGAGCCCTGAAGTTTGTGAATGATTTCTTTCCCCATAATCCCTGTGTTAGAAATCTCATAGATTCAGGGTTATTCCTAAATGATTTCATTCTCACTCATTTGCCTTTGAGAGGATTTATAGCCTGGGAAAGGAAGAGGCACAATTGCCGCTGTCTGCATGGAAACAGCCAACGCCACCAAAAGGTGGGAACTTTTTTTTTTTAATTTTTTTTTCAACGTTTATTTATTTTTGGGACAGAGAATGAACGGGGGAGGGTCAGAGAGAGAGGGAGACACAGAATCGGAAACAGGCTCCAGGCTCTGAGCCATCAGCCGAGAGTCCGACGCGGGGCTCGAACTCACGGAGCGCAAGATCGTGACCTGGCTGAAGTCGGACGCCTAACCGACTGCGCCACCCAGGAGCCCCAAAAGGTGGGAACTTTTGGAACCACTGCTCTTACGGGAAAAGACAATGTTAAGATCAGCACAGGCCAAGAGGCTATGCTGCCACATTTATATGCCCGTAGGCTGTTATTTTTCTCAAGTCAGGAAATGTTTGCACCAAAACTGCTGGAGAGAAATGTCCTCCCAAGTTCAGCTGAAATGTCCCTTCTTAATTTCTTCTTTCTCTGTGGACCTGACTAAAGTGCTGGATCTTGTATTTTTCCTGTTGCACAGACTTCAGCCTGGGTTGTTGGTGAGAGCAGACTTTACACCTCAAGGTTTTGTCCCCACTCAGCTTTAGTAGGCAGGGGGATCAGCTGCCATTGGGAGTATCAGGCTTCATGATGGCAGGGTCAAGGACCTAATGTGCCCCTCCTGGAGAGGTCATTGGTGGAAGCCAGCCCCCTTCCATTCTGACAATCACATTCATAAAAAGAAACTCACATTTTAACAATGGCTTTATATTGTCCGTGGGATAGTCTAGGGGAAGGGTGTGATTTCCTGTGAGACCCCTCTTCTCAAATCTAAGACTAAAGACACTGGTTAAGAGATGCTGATCTATATCACGCTTGAGCCAGAACTGATGCTGAGAAACCCTAGTCTGATGGGCACCACATGCTCTTATGCTGGGGCCACCCATGGGAGGGACAATTGGTGGAATAGTCAGTAATTGACTCTTTTTATCAGCAGAATTCCAAGAAAGTGGTTTGACTAATGTTAACAGTAACTTTTGTGGGGTTTTTTGTGTGTTTTTTTCTTTAATGCTGATTTGACTGAATTCTTCAGAAATTCAAAAGATAGAGATATTTCCCTCTATTTGGTGTTCTCTCTCATTCCATGGAAAATTCTCTGCAACAGTGAGTTGAAAAGATTATGGCCTTCAGAGTCAGATAGACCTGGGTTAAATTCCAGTCCTACTTAAGCAGCCACGCAACCTTAAGTATCAGTTTCCTCACCTGCAAATCTTAGTAAGTACTTTCTATATTGGATTGTTGTGAGCATGTGTACAAATGCCCATGTACATCCTGGTACATCATAAGTACTCATAAACAGAAGCTACTATTATATTTGGGGCTGTTAATTGTTTGTTAAACTTTTATTTGGCCACCATGTATGCAATTTAACAAAAGACTGGAAGGACACACACCAAACTGTTAACAGTGGTGCTGAGGACAGTGTTATATGATGGTGAAGATACTTCATTTACTTTCTATGTATTTTTGACTTATGTGAAATTTTTTTAGAGAACATGTACTACTTTTGAAATTAAAAATCCCATATATTTTTCATTTAAAAATGTAATGACAGTTGTCTGTACATTTCTTTGCAATTTCCTGTGTATCTATAATGGTTTCAAAATAAAAATTTTGAAATCTTTAAATAAGATAAATAACATAAAATAAGGAAATATACATAGTAGATTAATATTACACCATGCATTGATATATTGGGACTGATGCAGCCACATGAAATATGAAATTTCCATGGTCTTACACATGCTTTATTTTTAGATATATAATGACATTGGTAAAACAGTAAAATCTCAGGGCTGAAAGGAACTGTAGAAATAATTTCAGTGATCTTCACTTAAGACCTGAATCAGTCCTCTCCACAGGAGATCTAGCAATATAGGCTTGGCTTGAGCATCTCCAATGATGAGATCTCATTACTCTCTATTTTATAAAATTCTTGGGGTGGCTCAGTCGGTTAAGTGTTGCACTCTTTATCTCAGCTCAGGTCTTGATCTCAGGATTGTGAGTTCAGGCTCAGTGTTGGGCTCTGTGTCTACTTTGAAAAAAAAAATGCTTGTCTATC